CGAAAGTGTAGCGGAGATATAGCCAGTCTAGCAAAGTTGTTACTTTTGGGGGGTTGAGGGCTCGGCGGCCGACTTCGATTAGGGCTGGAAGGTGGTCGGAGTTTAGAGCGTCGAGAACGGTTTGATCGGCGGATAAGTGACATTTTTTGAGACGAAGATGTCACAAATGTGGGAAAGATTGATGGGGGTTAAAAGGTCAGGGAGCGCTTTAACTATGAGGCTGAAGTCGAGAGCTTTCACAAGAAGGGAGATGTCTTTTTTATTAGTTTGTCAGCAGCCCCAGGAGGTGTGATTGGGATTGAGATCGTATGCGGTGATGGTCGAGACATGAGGGGTGAGAAGGAGGGGGCTAGCAGAAACATTTTGTTCAGATGGGAAAACGATTTTGAAGTGGCCAGATGTAAGTGAGACTTCAGTGCCAACTGCTTCAATGGAGTTTCTGACCAATGTATTTCTAATGGAGGATGGCTACACCGCCGCCTCTGAGTTTTCACTTCTAGAGAATGTGACCATGAGCAACGAAAATCGTCAAATGAATTGGGGTAGATTGATGTTTCTTCAGTAAAGCTGACAGTGGGGACTATTGGTGGTTCTCGTTCTGTTAATTGAGCTTGAGAGGGGGGGGGGCGGATAAAGTGCTAGGCACTGTGTCCTCGGACATGGGATTGCGGTTGCATCTACTGATTGTAGAAGGATGATGATTGTTTAACATAGTGAGCTTGGTTTGAACTTTGCTCGATAAGCCGATAGCATTCGCAGTAAAAAGTTCCTCTAACTGTGCGGGGCTCTTGGGGATAGTCATTTCTAGAATGACTAACGAACGAGAGTGAAAGTATTGTAGTAACATGCTGGTTGACGGAGAAAAAAAAAAGAAAAAGTAAGGTTAGGTTAGATAAAAAAAAAGAAGTTAGGTTAGGTTAGGTTAGGTTAGATGGGTGGTGTGTAAATTCAGAGTAATATTGCGTACTCTGTTCCATAGGGTTGTTGATTAGTTAGAAAACAAAAAAGAGAAAAAGAGAGAAATGGTTTTTCTTACCTATTAATCGGATGGAATGATGCTGTTTTACCTGAAAGAAAAAATATTTTAACCTGGCGATGAATGATTGTCAAGCGGTCTACGACTGGAGGTTGTAGAGCTGTCTGCTTCTAGGTTGCTGAGCATGGGTTGGAGGGTAGTGTAACCACCCGTACCGGGTATTACAAAATTTAAAAGAATTGGTCAATGACTCATTTATTATTTTTTTTCTGATTAATGTACATAGGTATGTAAGTATACGTTCTTGTTATTTTGTTTTTACTTTAGCAGATGAACAGTTTTTCATTGGTCTAGATTTTTATTAAGCAATTTGATTCTTAAATATTGGAATAGGTAATACGAATTCAGAATAACGTTTTATAATTTTAAAAAAATTACTTTTTTGCCAATTGGTAAAGTAACGCAAAGACAATCCCCATCTAAAATCGTGCATGTTTGCGTCAAGTTCGTAACTCGCACAAAGCGTGATTCCATCAGAGGAAAGGGTAACCAATTTCAGTATAAAAGTCCCACAAGATCCATGGTAAAATCAGTCTCCAACATTCCACCTACCCTGGCAGGGAAGAGGGAGGCTTATTGTAGGGAGTTGTATATTGTTGATTAGCTCGGTTATCGGTTACGACATTTAGTCAGATCTGGCTTAGCTCGGTCATCAGTTACGAGATCTAGTCAGAATTGGCTTCGCTCGGCCATCATTTAAGAGATCTAGTCAGAATTGGCTTAACTCGGTCATCAGTTATGAGAACTAGTTAGAATTGATCTAGCTCGGTCATCAGTTACGAGTTCTAGTTAGGTTAGGTTAGGTTATATCAACTGGTTCTGGTCTTGCAGTTTTGGTTTCGATTTTGCGAAAATCAAGACCAATATTGTATTTATATTAGCAATACCAAGACCATGACAGAACGAACAAGCCCAAGACTAAAATCAAAACCGAATATGCAAGACCAAGGCTAAATACGCAAGACTAAACGGAAAATTATTACATACGGTGGATTTATGAGTTAAACTATTTTTTTCTTGAATCACAACATTTTTAGTATTTTTAATTTTCATTTTGCTTAACTAGATTTTAATACTACATATAAAAAGAAGAAACTTTACCATTGTTTTAAAAAAGAGATCTTTGTTCCTTCTTTTAAGTACCTTCTAGTATTTTATTCACTAAACGGTCAATTTAGGGGTTTGAGGAAGGGTCAATTTATTTACAGAAGGAAGGGTAAGTTGCATGTATGACAGAAAATTTCAAAATTTAAGATAATTATTGTGTCGGTAAAAAGAAAACTTTGTGCTTAAAAGAATTATTAAAAAAAAAAAAGTACGTATTAGATTAAATGAGCAAGACCAAGACTTAACACGCAAGACTAAAAGACCAATACTAGAAGAATTTAGTAAGATCAAGACCTAATAAACAAGACCAAGACCAATATCAAGATTGGAACGACATTAATTCTGTGATTAGTGTTGAAGATAGTACCATTTCGGGAGTCATTGAGGACGTAATTTTACAACCCGGCCCTTCAGGTATAAATATTTAGCAGCTAGTAATTTAATTCCATTTGTAACCATTAATTGAAATTATTTTTGAGAATTTTGGAGATGTGAGGAATAATTTCAATTAACAACTACGAATGCAATGTTATAATTCCTTCACAATACTTCTAATGTGATACAATTATCAAACGTTCTCAAGTATGAACGTTTCATATCATCCAGGGGTGTCACGAATGATAATTATTCCAATATTGCTGATCAAATAGTAATCCTTTTTCCTGATGAGTGTATACAAACATATTATGTGGAAGCAGTGAGCAAAAAAAAATCCCGGATTAATACATCGGAAATTTCAAAAGTAAAAATACCGGATAAGTATCGAAATTATAAAGCTGCAATTAGTCAAACAGAGCGTATGGTAAAAGAATTGATTTATTTATGCGATATATCTTAGTAATGATTGTTTGAATGGCCTTTGTTTTATAGTTATTACAAGGATAATTTTGAGTAGTAAAAATGATGTATTTTTTATATACAAATTCTTCAACTATATTGGGTTTGATGATTACATGAAAGGGTATTTAATTGTCATACCAAATTGTTTCACAGAATGTAAATTATTTAAAGTAAAAGATACTAGTTATGTTAGATCTAATAAGATCCATATTTCAGGGAATGGAGATTTTGTAATTAGTAGGAAAGATTCGCAATAAATAAACGTTTTCAACCAAATAATATCTTATTTTATTTAGCGATATATTTCATTTTTTCGATAACGAGTATTAATTGCATATACTAAATGTATTCTATAATTTAGAATAATAGACTCTTGTATGATAAATTCTTTTAAATTGATATATATTTCAATTAATGTATTAAAATAATTATTTCAAATTTAGAAAATACTACAAATGGCGCAGTGAACGCCATCTGTAGCACGATGCTACATTTTAGGATTACGTATGCGATCCGCGTCTGGCAGTTTCGATAGAATACAGACCACTTCAAATTATTTTATTTCAATTTTATTTTATTTTCATGAAAAATATAGTTGAATTGGCTGAATCCTATATAATATTGAGTCATGGTTATAATTGTTTCGTTGAATTTATGAATTATTTGATTAAAAATATCAATTTCCTACAGCAAAAAGATTTGGTTATTATTGCTAAATTGAAATTTGACTCAAAACAATACCCCAATTATGAGATTTTGTTACAGGAACTAAATATTTAGTTCACCGTATTCAATTAGACGATTTGGTAACTATTACTAAGTCTGTGTTACTATAATTAAACTCTTTTCACAGTGTAGCTGGCAAAATTAAAAGGTTTTCCCCTTACGATTTAACTATATCGCATTGACCCGCTGTCGACCACATATCCCTACCATCAACCCGATGGTACAAAAACGGACTGAAACAACTTTAAGGACAGAGCGGCATGATCGAAAGGTTTAACCATTCGGGAGGACACCGGTCCGATTCTCGGTACGTTTGTCCTGGTCTATGTTTCTTTATGGTTTCGTTGGGTCACTTAGTAAATGTTGTGCCAGTAATATTTCCTCTTTTCTGTTTTCATTTCGTCCGTCACATTTTTCTCACTTCAATCACCACCCACCCATTCCGACAATTCCTAAAAAGAGAGCCTTCCGCCCTACCTGTCGGTGTAGTCTGGTGGGACATCCCGGTCAGTAGTAGCTAGTCGAAATGAAAACACCCATAAGTTTTTGTCGACTTCAAGGGTACTTCCGATAAAAAAATTGCTCTTTCTATTGCTTGGGCCAGGAGGATGCACCAGTTGAATTTCCTTTTGAAATCATTCTGATATACTTCCAGAGAATGAGATTTAAACGAAATATTTCTTTTTATAGACATTAGAATTTTACCGATATTTTACTAGAACAATAAAAAGCCAACAAATGCAAAAGTTCTTCCCTATTTAAAAAAAAATAAGAAGACCTTATGCCGATGAATTTACTTAAAAAATATATATATACAATGTTATGCTGTTTGTATTTCCTTCGAAATTTGGGCCATTTTTGCAGAAAACATTCATGACTAATGTGCGATGAGAGAGTCCCGCATGCGGCACACAATAAATCAAAAATAGGACACGAATCACGTTTTTCGAGGAGTGTCTGCAGGCATGTAGTATAAACATGCCCAAAACCAAATTAACTTAATTGTGAAATGTGAATTTTTGTAAGAAATGTTAGGAAAAACGTGCCTACATAACAGAAACTTTTGCAATTTATTTATTATCTCTGTTTGATAATAACCAATTTGCAGTGTGGTTTTTATTATGTACGAAAATGCACTACAAATTCTTAAATTGTCCTTTGTTGATATCATTATCTATAGCAACGAACGCAAGATGCGCGGGCGCTCTACAGTTGCGACGTCGCAGGAGTTAGTATCATTGTCCTGAAGGATTCGTGTTGACAGTGTATCGCGTACCATGGCCCCTTACAGTGCTCCTGTTGTAAGTAGTGATGATAACGGTGCTGTAAAAAGCTACAAAAACCATGATAATGATAAATGCTGGAAACGGTGGCCCCGATAGTAATCGTATTAGACGAGAACACGGGCTACAATTACCACTTCACCCTTTGCAAGTAACAGGGTGGCTGGGCGTAATTGGTCTTTCAGCGGGTGAGTTACAATTAAAAACCACTGTGTATTACACAGAGACCGAATACATATATTTTTTAACCACATTGTTGTTGGACTTTAAATAATTGCCTTGAAAATTAATGATTTACAATCATTTAAATAATAATACATTTTAGCATTTCTTAAATGATCTTATAATAAATTCGAAACTTATAAAAATATTGGTAGTAGATTAGATGTTTAAATTGACAGCTTTTCTTTTTTGATTTGTAATAAAGGTTCAGTATTATTGGGAAATGCGTTATATATTTTTATAATTCATATTATCAGACGAGCAGTTCTCAGCGGGCTCGTAGAGGGGAGCAAACATGCGACATGCGACATGCGACCTATTTAATGCCCAGTAAAAAAGCAACAGTGCCATCATTACATGTTCAGACGCAGTGAATTCTAAAAGTAGTTCACAGGACCGTTTTGTACTTATCACGCACATTTTGCACTTCAAACCTGAAAACAGTTATTTAATGTGCCCGTACATCTGTACACGCATACTAAATAAAATAATTGTAATTTTATGTTAATTACAGCATAACGGATTGCAAAATCCGATGGCGGTATGTACATGACATATAGTCATAGTGTAGGCAATCGCTGGATGAAAATATCTGTTACAGTTACTTGCTATCAAATGGAAATTGAAACTAACTAGAATGGAAACTGTTAATCTTTGGATAAATATTCTCTGAAAAGCAACGTTACTCTCATCATGAGACCGTCAGTTCTAAGACTGGTTGGACACGCACCTCCACTCCTTTCTATCCTGAGCTAATCTTCGCATTTCCCTAAAATTAGAACGTCTCACATCCTTATTTATTTGCAAATAGTAATTTAATCTAGGTCTACTTCTATTCTTATTAACTCCTGTTTCTGCTTTTAATATGTCTTTGACCAGATCTAGTTTTTATTGACTTCTACAGAGTCCTTCTTCATTTCTAACCTTCTCTATCTACGAAATCTTCAATATTTTTCAAATACATTTCGAATGCTTCTAATCTTTTCTTTTCCGCCGCCCCCACTTCTATGTTTTGCACCCATACAGCGTCGCACTCCAAACACAAACCTTTAACAATCTTTTTCCAATGTGACTTCTTTATATTTAAGGCGACTCGACCTTGCACTATCCTTTACTTTACATTCCTACTACTCCTTCCGTCCTGATTTATCTGACTTCCTAGATATCTAAAAGCAGCCACTTTTTCTATTTTTTCGTCTGCTATCGTTATATTCGTTTTTTCCCTGCTTTTCCTTCTCTTGCATACCAGTTTTGTTTTACTTTTATTTATTTTCATACAATACTGTTTGGTCAATGCCGCTTCCATTTTATTTAAAGCTATCTCTAACGCCTCCTTGCTGGATGCTAATACTGCTATATCATCTGCAAATCCGAGCATACTAATCTTTTACCCCTGTATATCTATCTATGTCCTTAATGATGTTAATTGCGCCTTCCGTGTACCGATTAAAAAGTAGTGGTGACAGTGTGCATACTTGTTTGACTCCCTTCCTAATATTTACTTTTCTACGTTGTTGCTCCAGCTCTATAACTGCCTGTTGCTCTTTATACCAACTAAGTATCACTCTTCTATCTTCGTAACTCATCCCTACATTTTTAAATATATTTAATATCTTGTCCCATTTAATATTGTCAAAAACTTTTTCTAAATCTACAAATCCTATGTACTCACTCTTTCCTTTTTCTATCGTTTTCTCTATTGTTACCCGTAAAGCTAGAATGATCTCCCGCGTTCCTCTATTTCTTCTAAACCCAAATTGATTTTCCCCTAATAGTTCTTCCACCCTTTTTTCCATCCTACTCAGTATAATTCTAGTTAAGATTTAATAGTTTAGGCCATTTTTTTAAATACTGCTATAATATACAATCTAAAGAAGTTTCACTTTTTATGCGTGTAGACTAATACATGCTCGCACCGTTTTTTTGTGATATAACAACAAATTTACTGTATTCGATTTTTCCCTTTACTTGAGCTATAAGACATTACTTCTTGCTAAACATAATTCTAGGTTAACGGTAAGTACCCTACGGGCTTTGATTTTCTTGCGAGTGTCAAAATAAGCGGTAAAGGGCCGTAGGTATCTCTTGATTGCGTTGATTCAGAGGTTTAATTTTTTCATAGCTTTAAAGTATTGCAGACCCTACTATTTCGTATTAAATTCAACGTGATACCTATATGCGTTCTTCAGGAAAATGGTCTTTACAGACGAACAACGAAGTGATTCTATAAGGGTTCCTTTTTTTCTTTTGTGTTCCGGAATTTAAAAACACAAAATTCACTGAAAATAGTTATCTACGTAATAAAATTTATCAAACTTTTAAATGCATAGTATTTTTTAATATATTCACGTTTCTTCTAGTTTTGTTTTAGTTTTTCTATATCGGTATGTATTTTTATATGTTGACAAGTGAAAAAGTAATAACCGAGACCCGCTTATAGTGTTCGAAATCTCTACAACACATTAAATAACATGAATAACCTAAAGATAAAAAATACAAAACATACAATCTGATACATTTATTATATGAATAGATGACTTCTATATGAATAGATAACATCACACCAATAACAGAATAAAACACAAATTTTGGGTACAAACCATACAGTGTGTTTCTGAAATAAATAGCCATCTTTGGAGGGTGTCAACTAGATGCAATAGGGAATCGCATGGTGAGTACACCAGCGTGATTAACATATCAAAAAAATGAAAAAAAAAAAACACAAGTTACAATCCGAAGTAGGTCCTCGGCGTGAATTGGTAACATAGATCTGTATCTATGCACCGAGTTGATTTAAGAACTCAGAAGGTACAACGATCAACAAAACTATGATACTATTACACATAATGTTTAGATGCCTGTCATGGTATAAATTAATTAATAACGGCATGTGAGTACAAGAGAAACAAAAAGGATTAAATTTCTTATAAAGATAAACTTCCCCGTTACCCTCGAGGTATTGTCAAGGCGCGTTACCATTCTTAAACTGTACACACACATACGCACACATCCGTGCACTATAAAATTGTTCGAAAAATCCCGTTCTAGAAGACAGGCAAAATTATTTCTGAATCGAGCCAAAAAGGTTTGGCAGTCACATCAACATTAAGACTATCAGAACATTTATCCATAAACAACAGTATAAAAACAATCGTCCTCTGCAGTGTTTTCGTGTCGAAACCACTGATACAAATCCATTCCTGCAAGGCTTGTATTTGCTCAAAATGATAAGGATAAAGCAACTGCTCCTTTAACATTTGTCATACTGTAACACAAGAGGAGCCGACACTACGTGCTATTTCGCGTGTACTACTTTGTCTTATATGAAAGCAAGAATTTCATCTCCTTGGCGGTGATATGGTTCGGGCAGTTAGAACGTTAAAAGAACAAATAACTAACTAACCGCAGTTGTTTGTAAAATAGATCTTGAATCACTCTGTATCTAATTCAACACGTATGGTGCCATCCGTGTATTGTGCCAAAGTTCACCCGATCATCAAGTCTGACAGTTCCTACGTGGGCAGTTACAAGTCGATTGAATACGGCGTTGCATTGTTGCGTTTCTGTCCAGTGCCGGAATTAGATTTGCCTATCATCTCCTGCAAGGTTGTTACTTATTTTAGAAACACCGTGTATAAGTCGAATGTACACCAAAATAAAAAGCATATCATTACAAATGATTTACCGATTCAGAATAGTGCCCGCCGATGGTCGTGCATTCTTTCTCCTCCGATGAGAACACTGATGGAGCCGTTTAGCTGACAACGCGAGAAATGGGCGGCAATGTCCGCATTCATTCTTGGTCCCTTCTTTCTTGGAGATGAAACAGTCACTGTGATGAATGATGAGTGTTATAGAGCAATGTTCATCCATTTTCTTCATGCAGAATTGGGCGTTTGACGGATTTAACCGAAACAATTGGTTTCAGTATGATGAGGCGACTTCTTACACTGCTTATCTGTCCAGGATGTTTCCAGGGAAGGTTATACTATACTATCTATCAAACAATGGCAACGCCAATTATTCCCCATTTAAACCCAATGGATATTTTATTATGGGGTTACTTTAAATCGAAGGTCTACGACGACATTTCTGCAATCTTAAATCAATTGCAATTGGTGATAAAATTACAGCTATTCCATCGGAATCTTTTTGCAGTGTGTTCACTAATTTCTGGAGTTGTTTAGAGAATAGGGCACGCATGGGAGGCCAGCACTTGGACGGCAACATCTTTCACAAACAAATTTCCCTAGTTTGTACTTAATTTTGCAAATATACCCGAATACATTATGATTTATGACTGTTTCAAAATGCAACTCTGTATTAGTACGACAACTTTTTATAGTTCATAGCTTTAGACGGAGGGGCTCGCTTTTATTTTTTGATTGCTTCACAGTTTCTTAATTAGCGTGATTCGCGGATATTGGATTAGTTCCTAAATTATTGTTTTCTAGCGATCTCAACCCATTACTTTAGTTCTAACTTCTGTTGCTATTCTTTCACTTTCTTCTAATAATATGACTTATTTCGGATTCGATTCATATTCTGACGATGGTCGACTACAGTGCTCGGAGAAGAATTAATGATTCATATTTGCACTCCTTTTAATCAAATGCATTCTGATGGACTGTATAGGCGGTCAAGGCTTATCACAAGACAGCAAATTGAACATTTTGCATAAATTTTAGAAAACATTCTATTCCACTTGTTGATAAATGGGTAGGGATATGGATATAGATTTTTATTCAGTCCCGACGTTTTTATCACTATACAGGTTTTACATGAAAATATTTACATTTACAATATGTAGAACTGACGGGAGACGACTTTAATTATTACAACAGTAAGACGTAGGTATAGTTGGGATAGAAGGGAATGTTTTAAAGCATGTGGGTCAAAAGGTTACAGATGGTTAGTTTAAACTTTAAACTGTTGTTTTTTTCTTGTTTTTGTGTTATTTTGTTTT